CCCCGCGGGCGGCCCTGCAGTGTAAGGATACACCGGCTCCCACCGGGAAGCCCAGAGGCACAGGCCCGGAGGGGCCTCCCGGAGGAATGTCAGCTGACGGCTAAAGCCGGAGCCCTTGGCAGGGCAGCAGGGCCCCAGAAGAGCCCTTCCTGTGAGGGGCCGGGGGCCCAGGGCAGCCCCGGCCCGGGAGCAGCGCGTGGGGCTCGGTGATCCCTGTCCCGGCGTGGGTGGCTGTGCACCCTGGGGCTGGGCATGGGCACCCCTCAGTCATCCCATCCCGGGGGGTTGGGGATGGAGAAAAGCCCCAGGAGACTTGGGGCGCCCTGGAGGACCCGGGGCCCTGCCAGCCCTGGGGGAGGTTTCCAGGCAGGCGCTGCTATTTTGGGAGGGTGAAGCAAGAGGGTGAAGGATGCAGACGAAAGTTCAACACGCCTCCGGCAGGTCCTCCCCCAGCCCGGGCTGGGATGAAAACAATCCTAGGAGAAAGGGAGGCAGAGCTGGAGCCGGCAGCACCTGTGGCATGAGGACCGGCACCCGCCGGAGCCCGCAGGGAGGAGATGGCGTGTCTGGGCTGGGTGCTGCACCCGCTGCCGCCATCCCTCTGGTGCTGGGGCTGCCCGTGTTCCTGCCCTTCTTCTTCCTAAAGAGCGTTTGGCTTCAGGATGGCATTTGGGGGAGGATCGTCTCTCCCTGCCAGGGCACGTGCATGCGCGTGTGCTCTTGCACGGGTGCCGGCGCAGGGCAGTGTGGATGGAGGGGCTCTGCAGTGGCCTCTTGTGCCTCAGTTTCCCCAGGGAGTCGGGGTTCAGACTGAACAAGTCGGCAAAGGCTCAGCCTTGGGTAACCAGTGCCGGGAGCGCAGGCTGGTTGCCCTGCCGTCCCCATGCCGGCACTGACCCGGGCCCAGGCCACGGAGAGGCCGCGCTGCATGCGGCTTCCTGCCGGCTGCTTCCTTCCGCCGCGCGGGGCCGGCAGGTTTCCCGGCTGCTGACTCAGCATGAGCCCCCCGCGACCCCCACGGGCAGGCATCCGTCCCACCGCTGCTGACTCAGCATGAGCCCCCCGCGACCCCCACGGGGCCACGGGCAGGCGTCTGTCCCACAGAGGCTGCCCCGTAGCCACACAGCTTTCACCCTCACGTCCCTCCCACGGCGGGTGATTTCCTCCCACCCTCCCGGCTTTCCAGCCTTGCTGCACAGCCCTGGGGTTTTTGTAGGTCCTACAGAAACACCCGCCAGGGAGGCGGCTGCAGCATGAGCCCCCCGCGACCCCCACGGGGCCACGGGCAGGCGTCTGTCCCACAGAGGCTGCCCCGTAGCCACACAGCTTTCACCCTCACGTCCCTCCCACGGCGGGTGATTTCCTCCCACCCTCCCGGCTTTCCAGCCTTGCTGCACAGCCCTGGGGTTTTTGTAGGTCCTACAGAAACACCCGCCAGGGAGGCGGCTGCGGGGTAGGTTGGGTGCGATGCCAACATGTGCTGGCTGCCTTGCAGGGACCAACCATGGGCTGCGAGGGACCAGCTGCCCTTCGTCCCCTTCTGCGGCTGCATGCCGGGGGGTTGGTGCCTGGCACAGCCCTTTCGGCGAGGGCAGAGCCTGGTCCCTGTTCCCTGGTGCCTCGGGTGGGCTGGGGACCACGGTCCCTGTGGTGGGACCGGACAGAGCCGGTCCCTCTGGCACCGCAGCCGTGGTGAGGGGCTGGGACGCAGCTTGGCATGGCACCGGGACCTGGGCCAGGCTTCCCTGCTGGCTCACTCTGAAAACATCAGCACGCCGGGCGCATTTTTTCCAGGCTTACCTTTCCTATGGAGCCGCAGAGCCGGGTGGCTGGCGTGGCTGGCACGGCGGCACGGCAGAC